ATTCCCTCCCCCGCCGGGGGGGGTGTGTGTGTGTCAACCCAGCAAGGAAGATCTACATTGACAAACTGGAACTGGAAAATGTAGAATATTTTGCCCACCTTTACAGCCATCTTTCAAAGAGGGTAGACACAGATGTTGAGATTCATCACAGAATTTTCTGTGCCAGCCTTGCTTTTGACAGCCTTTCTTGTCAACTGTTCAAGAATCACAACCTCAGAACACATACTAGACTTTTAGTTTATAAAGTAGTGGTATTCACAACTCTCCTTTATGACTGTGAGATTTGGGGACCTACAGAAAAACACATACAGATGTTTTTTTTGAAGATTCTCAATATAAATTGAGAGGATTATTACTCTAATGTCAGTGTCCTCACAGAAACCAACTTCAGAGTTAAGGCACAGATTCTCCAACACCAGCTGAGGTTAAGCAGGCACTGTGTGCCCATGCCCGAAGTATGCTTACTGAAACAACTGCTGTATACCCAATTCACCAAAAGAAGAAAGGAAAAGGGCAGGTCAAAAGAAATTTGCCCCAGAGCTTGTACTGCCCCTTCACTTCCTGCCTCCCAACGTACCCAGCTCGGCCTTCTGCATGAGCATCTGGGTGAGAGTCCAGCGAATGCCCCCAAGGAAGGAGGCCCCCAGCACCAGCACAAACCCCTCCGTATTGAACTGGGTGGACTCGTACGTGAACATGAAGAGCCCCCCAGCAATGAGCAGAACCACCAGCACCAGCGCCATTCTCTGAGCAAGAACAAACACAGAATCACCAGGGACAAGCTGCTCTGCTCCTCCAGAGCCATTCCCCTCCTGGGACTGCACACCCACGGCACCGCCCCCCATCTCAGGGAACGCCCAAGGGGCTCCCAGCACGCCAGTCCTTACCAGCTCTTCCAGTCTGAAGATCAGGGAGAAGAGCAGGATGAAGAGGATGGCAGAGGATTTGGTCATTGTGTAACTGGGAAGGTGAAAACACACAATCATTCTCTAGCACCATGTCGCACTTGCCAATCCCGCACCCTGGGAATCCAGGCCAGCCAGCCCCAAGCAATACCCATCACCACAGGTCTGGAACCTCAAGACTGCCCCATAGGGCCTAGTGCCCAGGCCTGGACCTGCTGCCTGGCTCTGCCAGAGCACTAAAACCCACTACTCATGTCTCCCAGGATGGAGGGGGGCTGCTACTCACAGGGAGACAGTGATGTACAGGAAGCTCCAGTTGCTCAGTCCAACGTCCAAAGCAGTCGACAAAGCTAAAGAAACAAGAATCCTTGGGCATTAACGGGCTGTCACCAAATCAGACAGTGCTGTCAGGCGTGTCCTGCTGCCCCAGGCAACTGCGTGTGCCCGGGACAGTCTCCTAGGGCAACCGTCAAAAACATTCACGAGTCCTTGTAGTCCTCTCTCAAGCCTATTCTCTGATTAGTACCTGCCACTAACACCTGAGCGGTCCCATGAGTAAGTTCAAACAGTGATCTCTGACTTAGGCGCACTGGCGTCTGCAGCTTGTAACCCTTCTGAGAAGGTAGCTGGGTGAAGTGAGGACTCCTACGCGGACGCTGGTGTGAAGGGTTCTGCATTTAGCTGGGAGTGATTCCATTTGGCAGGGTGGCCTCTCATTGGACTCCTGGGAAAGTCCTGTGCCCCACACATGAACCTCCCTCTGGGACCAACAGCTGTGTTGCTCCTGCGGAACACAGGTAAGAGGGAAGATGTGGTCACATAAGGAGGGAGAGGGGCTCTCAGGGCACCAAGGCAGGTTTCAGTAAGTCATGACAGCGACCAGGAACCAGGCTCTCTCAGAAAGGAACCAGAGCAGAGAAGATCAAATCAGGATGTTCAAAGAAACCTGTGCAGCTGAGTAAGCAAGGTTTCCAGTTCTGAACTAGTGGGACAGTTATCAGGGCATGTACTTTCATTTCACTTCTAGACATGAAGAACTGCAGCAGCTGAGCCCGAGTATTACACCTTTGTGCATTAGCATGGCAAAAAGGAAAAAAACCCACACAAAATCCCCTTGACTAAAACTTGTTGAAATAACTAACATAAATGCGTCACTCATCATAAATTAAAGGGCTGAAAGTGATCAGAAAAATAAGTTCCACACTTACTTTATGACTGGAAGCCTTTCTAGATTGCCATGCAAGTCCTTCTACAAACACAGATACAACCTGGACTGCGCAGACTCATTTTCTTTGTAACAAATGGAAGGATGTGGGGGTGCAGGAGCCAGGGCAGAGAGTTAGGAGGTGTGGGGGGG